TCTTCTTCCTCTGCTCCAAGAGCCATAAAGCAATCTTTACTTGTACTCAACTCAATTGACTTGCATACTAGAGCCGTGTCATCTTCCGAACTTGAGCTTTCATCGCTTGATGACAATCCATCCGATTCATCATTTTCGTTTGGTTCGTTGCTAACGAGAGTTTTTCTTTTGTCGTGCTTGAACCTTCGATCTTTGCTTTCGGATTTATTTGGTGTAGATTCAACATTCTTGCCTTGATACTTGCTAACGATCGGATACGGACAATTCATTTTAAAATGTTCGGGTGTGCAGCAATTGTAGCATAGATCTTTGTTTTCTTCGACTTTTTCTTCTTGTGTCATGCGAGGAATAGATTTTTGATTTCCATGTGAAAAATACTTGTTGTCTCCTTTTCGCATAAGCCTTTTGAATTTTATAACAAAAAGAGCAAACTATTCGTCAGTCATAAAATCAACATTATCTACTGGCTTGGAGGTTGACGGTTGTTCGGCCATTAGAGCAGAATTTCGAGCTTCATGAACTTCATCATCTTTGGCCTTCATCTCGAACTCATATGCTTTAAGATCACTAAATAATTTGTCGGTTGACAATATTCTTAGATCTCGGTGATCTCGCATAGCCGTAACCTTCATGTCTCATGTCGATGGTAAGCCTCGTAGGATTTTAAGATTAATTTCCTTTTGGCTAATATTTTTTCCAAGGTCATTAATTTCTCCAAGGATTTTGATCATTCGAGCTTCCATACCAACAATGAATTCATTTAAGAGCATCTTGAAGTACTCGAACTTCTTCATAGCAATAGTGAGCTTGTTGTCTTTCTCTTGTTCATCTCCTTCTCCGATCTTGATGAGAGTATCCCAAATTTCTTTTGCACTTCAGCATTTTCGAACTTTTGGGAATATTGTATCATCAACGGCTTTGAACAGAATATCTTTGGCAATGTTGTGAAGATTGTTCTTTTTTCTATCATCCGACGTCCATTCCGGTTTTGGCTTTGGTACGAACTGTGGAGCATCATGTGATAGAACAAATGCCGTATTTAATTTCAAAATTTCGATCGAGCCATTAGAGATAACTTCCCACATTTCATCATGTAAGGCCAATAAATGAACCTGCATACGAACTTTCCAATCATCAAATTTATCAAGTGAGAATAATAGATTTTGAGCTAAATCTTTATTCATCTTCTCGAAGGATGTGAGAGATAAATAATCCAATTACACACACTGGGTAAAAATGGATCTACCTAGCAGTTAGAAACAGGTTGACCCAAATAGACAACGTGCTCTGATATCAATTGTTGGTCCCAAAAGAGGTAAGGTATAAGTCTTGAGGCGGGGGGGGGGGGGGGGGGGGGGGGGGTGAATAGACTTTTAAACTCTTCCACACAGCACAACAATTGCTAAGGCAACAGATAAACCAAAACTCTTAACTAGATTGTTAGAGTACTCTTGTGCACAACGGAAATAATAAACGATATGGTGTGTGTGTATTTGTGTCAAGTTTATCTTCGTGAGAAGCAAGCAAGAGCAGTAAATAAAGAAAGCGGTAAAGAACACAAGGCAATTTATAGTGGTTCAGATGTGGTGTCATCCTCCTACTCCACTTGCTCCTATCTCCAAGAGCAATTCACTATATCCACCACTACTTGGTTCCTAGATACAATGAATTCCGTGATCTAGTGCTTTGGTCACCAAGCCCGCACTACTCACGCCCAGTGCCACCAATACTGCTACTTCGGGTTTCACGTCGCCGCGCTACTTTTCCAGGATTTCACGACTCCGCGTTACTTTCCCCTCGTCTTCTACGCTCTGGTAGAAACGCTTCTTCCGTGATCTAGTGCTTTGATCACAAAGCCCACACTAATCACACCCAGTGCCTCCGACACTGCTGCTTCGGATCTCACAACTCCCGGTGACAATCCAGGATTTCACAACTCTGTGCTACTTTCCCCCGACTTCTACGCTCCGGTAGAACTTCTACTTGTTTTGCTCCAAAACAAGTTTGCCTTGCTTCCAACATCTGAGACTCTGTTGATGATCTTCAATGATGCGCTTAGTCTCTTGTAGTTGATGAAAATTCTAACACTCTTGGATATTTCTTTGTAGGCTCTGTATCACTTTGAGTGTTTATCTTACTTAAGAATATATCAATTTAAGCTCTTGAGATGGAAAGCTCTTTTGATTTTCGTATGCTCTATTTAGCTCTGTTCATTGCTCTTGTGTGTTCTTGCTCCTGCTTTCCACTGCTTCAATCTTCATCTTTTTATAGCTGGTAATGAGAATCTGTCCGTTGGAAAGAAACGTTCTCATTTTTGAATTTCTTCTTGCTGTGTAGCCTTTTCAGAGGATAAGATAACGTTGCAGATATGTCAAAGATTCTCTGCATGTTGAGCTTCTAATCCACGCAAAAATGGTGTCCCAAAAACTTCATCTGGTGTAGATCACGTCTTTTGGGATTTCTATCTTCAAAATATAATCTCCAATTTAATCCCTTACTAGTTTAGACTAGTATTTTTGCTTCTGCAACTTCTTCTTGTATTTCCTCTGTACTTCATGTCTGGTGGGTTTGCATAGGAAATTTTAGAAAAGAGGGAAGCTTTTTTAGAAATAGAGTTGGAAGATTTTATTCCACTCAAAAGGATTGGCTGTGTAAATCTTGTTTTAATGCTTCTTACAGACCAAAGCAACAATCCTCTTCCCAGGTGCCTAAGTTTAAAAATGTTTTTCAAAATCCGGCGCCAAAAATGTTTTCAAAAGTTAATTATGATTATCTCCTCCCAGACTTCATCTTCTTAATTAACTTGGGAAATCTCTTCCCATGTAAACTTCAGCCCTTACTATTTATATCTTCTTGAATTGAAGCCCTTTGCAAATCTCATCCCATCAATTTGAAACTTCTGCCCAAATTGCGTTTCCTTTTCACGTGAACTTCTTCCCATTCTCACACGTGAACTTCTTCCCATTCTAGACTTACTATTTATATCTCCTTGAATTGAAGCCCTTTGCAAATCTCATCCCATCAATTTGAAACTTCTGCCCAACTTGGGTTTCCTTTTCACGTGAACTTCTTCCCATTCTAGACTTACTATTTATATCTCCTTGAATTGAAGCCCTTTGCAAATCTATATCTCCTTGAATTGAAGCCCTTTGCAAACTTTTGCCCAACTTGAGTTTCCTTTTCCCGTGAACTTCTTCCCATTCTCACACGTGAACTTCTTCCCATTCTAGACATACTATTTATATCTCCTTGAATTGAAACCCTTTGCAAATCTCATCCCATCAATTTGAAACTTCTGCCCAACTTGGGTTTCCTTTTCACGTGAACTTCTTCCCATTCTCACACGTGAACTTCTTCCCATTCTAGACTTACTATTTATATCTCCTTGAATTGAAGCCATTTGCAAATCTCATCCCATCAATTTGAATGAAACTTCTGCCCAACTTGAGTTTCCTTTTCACGTGAATTTCTTCCCATTCTCACACGTGAACTTCTTCCCATTCTAGACTTACTATTTATATCTCTTTGAATTGAAGCCCTTTGCAAATCTCATCCCATCAATTTAAAACTTCTGCCCACGTGAACTTCTTCCCATTCTCACACGTAAACTTCTTCCCATTCTAGACTTACTATTCTTCCCATTCTCACACGTGAACTTCTTCCCATTCTAGACTTACTATTATTCCCATTTTCAAACGTGAACTTCTTCCCATTCTAGACTTACTATTTATATCGTGAACTTCTTCCCATTATAGACTTACTATTTATATGTCCTTGAATTGAAGCCCAAACTTCTGCCCATTCTAGACTTACTATTTATATCGTGAACTTCTTCCCATTCTAGACTTACTATTTATATCTCCTTGAATTGAAACCCAAATCTCATCCCATCAACCCAACTTTCTTTCCATTCTAGATTGTGTATGTGTTTCCTTTTCCCAAAACTTCATCTGATGGATTTAAACTTGGCTTCTTGGATGTGAGATTTGAACTTATGAAGTTCCATTTAATATTTCAAGCTTTTACCATCTCATCCATACAAACTTTTAGTTTTTATAGATGCTTGATCTTCAAGATAGCTTCATGCAAAGTCCATGTCACATTCTTTCTTCTTCGGGAATTGTTGAGGGATTTCTTCTTGGATTTCTTGAGAGATTTCTTCATGGGTTAAAAGTCTTCATAGAGCTCATATCTCATGTATACATCTTCATATGCATACATCTTCCTCTTCTATTTGCCATTTTCACTAGGCAAATTCTTGATTTTAGGCTTGATATCTTCTTCATCCATTTTTCTCAACTAATGGATAATTTTCCCTTTCTTGATTTATGACTCGACTAGTCTAACCAAAATAAAATTGGGATTCTACGATTTACAATAATTTGGCATATCAAAATCTATTACAATTTATTCCTAACAGAGAGTAATTGGGTGTTAAGGAGAATAACTGGCTTGTGTTTTTGTTTGGCCTTGGGCATCTTTGGCTTGAATCGCCACAAAATTGGAGTCCAAGGCGAAGTTGTAAGTTCAAATAGCTATGTGAGTAGTATTTGGACACTTATGCGCATATTATTTTCCCTAATCTTGAATACCGTATTTGACATTTTAGCTTGAATAAACCAAGTCCAAATGCATTTGGTGTTTATTTCTTGTTTTCTTGCTTATATATGTTTGTCTTATTTTGTTTAGTCATTGACACTCCCTATTTGTAACAAATTGCTTAGCTTCTTGTTAATTTCCTTATGTTAGTGCGTAGTTGCTTGTGATTGCATACTACGTGCCATAACCCCCAACCCAGAGAACGACATAACTCTCGCACTCACCTTGAAAATATCTTACATCATTTCTCATGAATAAATTAGTAGCTAGTGTTTGATACGCCTATTTCCATATATATGGTTCGATACCTCATAATACTTCAAATATTTGTTTGTTGTCATACGAATTGATGCATCAATCAAACATATATTATTCTTTGGAAGATATAGCAACTCACATAGACACAGTTACATGCCACTTTTTATTCTAAACCCAAACATAAAATTGAAAACAAAAGCAATGCAACTAAGAAAGGATTACATGTCACTCTTTATTTTGAACCACAACATAAAGAAAACAACATGGAAAGTTTTTTTTTTTAAAAAAAAAAAACAAAAAAAAAAACACTGCTCGTCACTCTTTATTCGAACTAGAACATAAAACTAAAAACATTAAAGCAAAACCATCATACTCAAAATAGTAAATTTAGTATTTTTTTTTTTCATTTTTCATATTCATGGGATCGGATTAACCAACGTAGAGGTAATGATCTGCTTCAACTTGGTTTTGGAATGTGTATACAAATCTCCATCATGGTATAGCAAATCTATAACTCTTGTAAGGTTGAGAATTCGGGTGAGTATAGGCATAGGGACAACTGTAGGCTTAAGACATTCTCGATTAATGTCTTTCCAAGCATTGATGACTTGTCCTTGCAACTCTGTCGTGGCCTCTTCTTTTGATTTCTCATATTCTTTCATAAAGATTTGCACAGATGATTCAAAGTGTCCTCTTTGTTGTTCAAACTATATAAATGGCACAAATTTGGTGTGAGTAATTTTCCAATTAGGAATATAATATGTAAAGACTATTGATATACGACGATGTCAAGAAATTATCAATAAATCAATTTTTAAATACTAAAACCAATCGACTAAAAGTCATATAATAATAAAAATTATTTGGGATAATATATATTGTTACCTCATATCCAGTTATGTCATCCATTAATCTGCCAACGATCTCTGAAGCTCTAACAATTAACGGTCCACTAATCATCCAATCAAAGACTTGTTTAGTTATAAAGTCTTCGTGCATGCCTACTAAAGAAGTTGTTGCTAGCATCGTGTAACCCGAAGTTACCAATGCAACCTTCATGTACTCTTCAAATGTAGGAGAGCAACCGTCATTATACCACTTGGCTTCATCATAATATGCTCCCACTAATTTTGTCATCTTAAAACATATAGGAAATCAAAGCTTTAATATAATGTATAATTTATACATAATGAACCAACTTTGTTAATTAACTGTAAAGGTTTCAATGTGGTCAAATCATAAGGGTAAGACTAATTAAATCAAATACTATTATAAAATTGAGAATTAAATCAAAAGGATTACCTCAATTTTTGCATAGTTGACGCGATACGATTCACTTTCATTGGCTAACTCTTTCTCCATTTCAGCATAAGTATCAAGAAGGTACATGTAAGTAGACTTCATATATTCTGGTAATTGATTTGTAGCACTAACATCCCATCTGCATAGCAAAAGTATATATGCATATGTTTTAAATGAACACTAGTTTTTCAACAATTATCATACAAAAAGAAAATGAAAATGATTTTTGCAATTCTTGAAGAATATAGTGATGAAAGCTAGTATAGAATTGAAATTGGGACCTTTGGACTGCGTCGGTGAAAAGTTTGAGCTCATCAGGGGTTCCATAAACATCGTAAATATCATCAACAATCGAAGTTAGAGAAATAATTTTAAGAATAAATTTCCTTGCGAGCTCATATTTTGGTTCAAAATATGTTCCCAATGTCCAAAAGTAGCATTCCACCAACCTATCTCTTGCAAAAGGCAGTTTATTTGGGACATCTAATCCTTTCCACCACCTACATTATGACAATAACAATTTGAAAATACAAATTAAATTTTACAAAATTATATGAATAATACTATTTGTTAAATAAATAAATTAGCTAAAAAACTTTACCTTGTAAGACTGCCTAGCTCTCTTTGATGTTGCTTCTGCAGCAAGTTAAAGTCCAATTTTGCGAATTTCAGCAATAAAGCATCTTGTGTTCCATCAGGTTCATAAGATGATATGAATTTTTGTGCGTCTAGCCTCGTTAATCTCCTGCGAATTGGTTGCTTTAGTGCTTCACTCACTTGTGATCTAAGAGGATTGCTCAAGTGTGGTAGAATGGATTCTAGGTGAGAAGTGGTAAATATTAGCGCTTCTTCTAAAATCTGTTCCCCATGCACTCTAAGATGTGATGCTTCGTACAAGCTCAACATTGCTGCTACATTGTTGATTAACGATTCCTTGAACTTTTCATTACAGTCCTTGAACTTTTCAAACACATCTGTTAAAACATTAATGCAGCAGAGTTAAAAATGTATTACTTCAAACTTTAGAATTTGATTTTATTATTTCATATAACTATTTTGTTAGTAGTATTTATTTAATTTTATTCTATACTCACTAGCTGATACATGATAGCCATCTTGTCGAAGGAGTCGAAAGCGCAAAGAGACAACATAAAGACCATTCTCATCTTCCCCATCATTGAAATCATCATATGCCTTGAATATGTATTCCAATGAAGCGTCAATCTCATTTTCAAATTGATAACACACTCCTAAACGTTGGATCTTGTTAATCAAGTCCAATTTTTGGGAAGAAATGTTTGGGGCTTCCACAAGAATGTTCTTTATTTCTTCTTTCAATTTTTGATGCTCTAGCCAATCTTCTGTATCCACTTCCTGTGTATACAACAATTTATTTTCTTTACAAAATATTACTGAGATCCATCAAAGCTATATAAGCTGGAAATAGATAAGTAAATCTAAAAAAATCAAATTTTAAGAAAGTAAACAGAGAAAAAAATAGTTGATTTGACCAATTAATGTAAACATATATGAAAAGTAAAACCGGTTAGTAATAAAAATTTATCATTTATGGAGTAATTTTTAAGACTAAAAGTGTATGTAGGTTACCATGGGTTGAGAAGAATAAGTTAGGAAGTAATCTCCCCAAATGCTTGGATGAAAATTTGCAGAGCGACGAGTAACTTGATCCTTTGGAGTTTGGTTTGATGGAAGAGCTGATGGGAGTTGGAAATTGGCAGCCATTTTTGGTAAGTATTTTACCACTTTTGCATGTATGTTTTCTGAGGTTGCTCTCTATTTATAGTCCTCTTTGGGCACGTGCTCGAGCCTTAGTATACCGGTGTGCTAAAAAAACCCTAACGAACGTTAAACTGTTCATTTGTGGGAAATGATGTTGACCAATTAGAAATGAAAACAATGCGTAAAAAACATATTATTTAATTACGCAGTGAAGATTTCTATGAAGGTGTCCTAGTCTTTAGTCAATTTTTGAGAATATTTAAATGAGGTGTCGACATTTTATTAAGATCCAATCATTTCGTCATTATAGCTCTAATTCAATATTGTTACACGAACATTTTATATTTTTATTATCTCTTGATGAGATTAATCAATTCCGTTGTAATCAAATGAAAATATTTATATTAAGTGGTTTGTGGTCCATTGGTACCCGGTTGCTTCTTTTAAGTAGGAGGTGATAGGTTTGAACCTTACTTAAGGCAAGTAGTGTGTATATAAGGTACCTCTTTCTTATAATAATAAAAAAATGAAAATTTTTATTTAAAAAATCATATATTTTAGGGAATAATATTTCAAATGGCGATTGTCATATAAAAAAGTGAACTTTAATAAATAATTTTGAGTTGCAAGTAATTTTTTTTTTTTTTTTTTGTAATAAACTAGTATTTTCACCGTTGCACGGAATGGATTTGTTATAATATTTTAAAAATATTTGAATCAATATATTATATAGTGTAATTAATGAAATAGATTGGATTGATTATGTTTTTTTTTTTTTTTTTCTTTTTCTTTTTGGTGTAAACCACGGGGTGGTTCAGGTTCACCCGATTAATCCCCGTTCGTACAAGCTCAACATTGCTGGTACATTGTTGATTAACAATTCCTTGAACTTTCCATTATAGTCCTTGAACTTTTCAAGCACACCTGTTAAAACATTAATGAGTTTAAAATGTAAGTATTGCTTCAAACTTTAGAACTTGATTGTATATAATCTTACCAGTTTATTCTATTAGTTCATATAACTATTTTGTTAGTAGTGTTTAATTTTATTCTATACTCAATAGCTGATACGTGATAGCCATCTTGTCTAAGCAGTTGAAAGTGCAAAGAGACAACATAAAGATCATTCTCATATTCCCCATCATTGAAATCATCATATGCCTTGAATATGTATTCGAATGAATTTTCAATCTCATTTTCAAATTGATAACACACTCCTAAACAATGGATCTTGTTAATCAAGTCCAATTTTTGGGAAGAAATGTTTGGGGCTTCCACAAGCATGCATGTTCTTTATCTCTTCTTTCAGTTTTTGATGCTCTAGCCAATCTTCTGTATCCATTTCCTGTGTATACAACAATTAATTTTCTTTACAAAATTATTACTGAGATCAATCAAAGCTAAGCTGGAAATAGATATATAGACTATTCAGTATCCTGATGGAAAACTTAATGCATACTGATCTGAAAGAGAATTGAGGATGGTGTGATTGAGAGCTCAGAGAGTTTACATGGAATGAATACTAGTTCAGTTACAGATGATACTAGCAAGAAGCTACTAAATACTCTAGGGGGAAGGAAGGCAGTTATAACTGCCAGAAGGATGAAATTACAAGAAAGCCCCTCAGGCTTTTATTCTTTTAGAAAGCAGTGTGGTGTTGAAGCTGCTCTTATCCACCCAATAAGCTGTAAGGAGTTCATCATCCCCGTAAGCTGGAGCATGAAAATTTTGAAGGCCCAGCTTAGCATGAAACACATCAAAACTTGGCTTGGCCAAAGCCTTAGTAAAGCCATCTGCAGTCTAATGTTCTTTAACATCCTTCTAATTTTGATTTTCAGTGCACTGTAATTATTTTCTAGTACTGAAATATATGTCCAGTGCACTGGAAAATAATATTTCAATGCACTAACAATGACGAATTGTGTCCAAAAATTAACTATACAGTATTTAACACTTGTTCTTCAAATATTAACTATACAGATAGATGATTATTCATCTTATCAATAAAATATTCCAAGTGAGCCAACTGAAGAGTCGGTTGTGCAAAAAAGTTTGGTAATTAGTACTTAGTAGTGTGTTTAAACTTTGAATTGCTATTTGTTATATAATGTTTAGACTTTGCATTTGAATTATGTGATTATGTGAATATGTATTGTTTGGTAGTATGTTCAGAAAATTAGGAAATATTGAAATTTGTGGATCTTAAATCGAACCGAATTAAATCCGAACCAAAACCGAACCGTTTCAAACCTAATCGAATTGTAATGTTAAACCGAATGATTTAATGTTTTTAAATATATATAGAGGGGAGTTCACGTGCGGCAATGTTGTTAGGTGCGGCGGTGTGGTCAATTGCAGTCAATTAGATCAGATAAATCCAATGAATCACATTCATCAAGGCTTCTCCAATATTTTCGCGCACGTTCTCACACTACGCGAACTGCAAGACTAAAGTCGTCATTGGGCACCATAATAGGGCAAATCATAGTGTTGTGTGTTTTATGTTCGTTATTGGTGCATTATTAACCTTACTCTGGTGTATTTGTGGATTCGTGTTGGTGCCAAGTTCAGTTGCGGCCGCGCCTTAGCTTCCTGTGCGGCCGCACTAATAGTTATACAAATATATACACCATCCATGTTAGAAAATGCACACTAAAAAAACATGCACGTACAAATTAGGTACGCATTACCAAAACGCACCATTAGGTATGAATAAAAGCACCACATACTGTTTGGAAACATCATTGCGGTGGTGAGTTATATGGTGTATTTTTTTGGTGTGTTGTGTGTTTTTTTGGTGTACTTGTGCATTTCATTGTTGTGCTTTTCCTAACACTATTGGTGCCTTTTGTTAACACTGTTGGTGTATTCTGTTAAGCGACCGCTATAAATGGCCACTATAATTACCATAACACCCCCCACTTACCAAAACACGCTTAAATATTCAAATCTTCAATAATTAGCCACTACCATTAGATTAAACTGATTCAACGACACAAATACGACTGCACCACCGCATATGAACGCTAATAATATATATATATATATATATATATATATATATATATATATATATATATATATATATATATATATATATATATATATATATATATATACACACACACACACACACATATATATACTGATTTATTTCCGGCATAGGGTGTAATAAATATATCTATATTTCATAGGGGTGTGCAGAACCCGAGTAAACCGACCCACCCGCCCGACCCGATAACCGACAGGTGAGCCCGTGGAGTGGGCCGTATCCGAAGACCACGCCCGACCCGAGTGCACGGTATAAGACGAATGAAGAGGGTTCGGGTGGGAGGCATTAAACGCCACCCGAACCCGTCCGAGCATCCGAAATAGACTAGGGTTTTTTTACCCTATGTAATACGACGTCGTTTGTTATATGTATATATACTACCTATTTCAGTCAGCGCAGCCGAGCTCCCATTTCACTCTTCTCTCAAGTCTCAATCTCTCATCTCTCATCTCTCATTCTCTCTTTCGCTCTGGTCTTTGAGTCTTACTCTCTAAGACTCTGAGTTCTCACTTCTCAAATCTCAGTTCTCTCAGTCTAATTCTCTCAGTTTGTTAGACACTCACAATTGTAGTCTGGTGGAAGCCCTATTCGGAGACTCGGAGTAGCGACTAGTCTAGACTCTGGTGGAGTGGTGGAAGCCCTAGACCCTAGTCCGGTCACCGGACTCCGGTGGAAATGTGGAACGGTGGAATAGTGGATTCGAAGCCCTTTGTTCTCGAGGGATTAAATTTGAGAAACAATGTAATTACTAAACCCTATTTACATTTTCGTTATAGATTATTGTGTATTTGTCTTCTTGATTTGGGTTTCTAATTTTTATGATTATGTGGACTGTGATACTTGTAAATCCGTTGAGAAGTTCCGGATTGCATGTCACTAGTCCTTTGAGTGTGAATTTGTGAATTGTGTGATTAGGGTTTCTAATTTGTAACCTAATCTGTGGACTCACTGGACTATGATACTTGTAAATCCGTTGAGAAGTTCCGGATTGCATGTCACTAGTCCTTTGAGTGTGCATTTGTGAATTGTGTGATTAGGGTTTCTAATTTGTAACCTAATCTGTGGACTCACTGGACTATGATACTTGTAAATCCGTTGAGAAGTTCCGGATTGCATGTCACTAGTCCTTTGAGTGTGAATTTATGAATTGTGTGATTAGGGTTTCTAATTTGTAACCAAATCTGTGGTGGAAGCCATACTACCCTAGCCCCTTGCCACTGTGGAAGTGTGGAACTCAGGAATTGTGTGTGAAATACTGAAATCCATATAAATGTTAAGCATGATGGTATTCTTGTGGAAGCCATATAAATGTGGGAGTGTGTCTTGTACTCATGTGTGTCTGAAATCCATATAAATGATGAGCATATAAAGTAGCATACATCTACTTAGCTTGAATGCCTGATTATGAATTTCATTGTAAATTGTAATTTGTAAGTTGTAAGTTGTAACTGTGAAAATGTGAAATTGTAAATTTGTAAGTTTATGGATATGTGACCCTTAAATCATTTATATGCAATTCTGCATACATGATGAAATGTTCAATTAACTGAATTCTGCCTGTTTAACACTTTAATTAATTGATACATGTGACAAAGCCCATTCTCTGTTGATGATTTTCAATGAGTGATTTCCCATTCTGTGTCACTGATACTTTCCCCTTTTTAGATGGAAAGTGTTAGTGGTGTTACTGGTGTATCTGGAACCCAACCTGAGTTGGAAGCACCAACTGTAGAGACTGTTACTCCTCAGTCTCAGCAGCCTTTGCCTCCACCTGTTCCAAAGAAAAGGAAAGAGGTTGAATCCAGGGCTCCATGTTGGGATCACTTTGAAAAGATCAAAGACAATGATGGCATTGTCATAAAAGGAAAATGTATATATTGTGCAAAAGTGTATTGCTGTGAGACCAAGAAACATGGGACTTCTTCTCTCAGACTTCATGTGGTAAACTGCCTTAAAAATCCTCACTCTAAGGAGACAAGGCAGTCCCTACTTACATTCCAACCTGCACCTTCTTCTGCTGGAGCTCAAAGTAGTGAAGGAACTGAAGGGGTGTTGGGTACTTGGGTGTTTGATCAAGAGTTGATAAGGAGATCCTTAGCTGAGATGATTATTTTAGATGAACTTCCTTTTAGGATTGTTGAGGGACAAGGTTTTAGAAAGTTTGTTTTAGTTTGCTGTCCTAGGTTTAAAATCCCTTCTAGATGGACTATCAGTAGGGACATTTTCAAGATATTTTCTGATGAGAGGGTCAACTTGAAGAAGTTTTTTAGGACTAGCAGTCAGAGGGTAAGTATCACAACTGATACTTGGACCTCAGTCCAGAGAATAAACTACATGTGCATAACTGCACATTTCATTGATAGTGAGTGGAAGCTGCAAAAGAAGATTATTTCATTTGTTCCTATATATTCCCACAAGGGGGAAAGTATTGCAAAGGCTTTAGAGAGTTGCCTTTTGGACTGGGGTCTAAAATCAGCGTTTAGTGTGACAGTAGATAATGCTTCCAGCAATGACACTGCCCTAGGATTCTTGAAGAAGAAGTTGGGCTCTTGGGGTTGTACTGCTGTTAGGTGTAAGTATTTGCACATGAGGTGCATTGCTCACATTCTTAACTTGGTGGTACAGGATGGGTTGAAAGAATGTGACAGTTCTGTTAAGAAAGTCAGGGATGCTGTTAGGTATGTGAGGAGCTCACCTGCTAGGCTGCAGAAGTTGAAATCACTAGCTGATCTAATTGGGGTGGAAGCTAAGAATTCTCTGTGTCTAGATGTCCCTACAAGGTGGAATTCCACATATATGATGCTTAATACTGCATTATTGTTTCAGAAGGTATTTGAAGCCTATGATGATCATGACAGTTCATTTAAATCTGATTTGGGTGGAAGTGTACCTGATTTCTTAGATTGGGAATCCATTCAATCTTTGGTTATGATTCTGAAATCTTTTTATGAAATGACTGTTAGGATTTCTGGATCATTGTATGTGACTTCTAATACCTTCTTCTCTGAGATTTCTGATTTGTCTTGCTTGTTGAAAAATATGGAGGAAGCTACAGAAGATAGTGTTAAACTGATGGGTAAAAATATGAGGGCAAAATTTGATAAGTATTGGGGTGAGCCTGAAAAATGAATTTTTTGATATTCTATGCAAATATCTTAGACCCAAGGGACAAAATTGAGTATATGCCCATTCAGTTTAACCAGTTATATGGTGAGGACAAGGGTAAAACAATGTTTGATAAGGTTATTGTTGGCCTTAAGGAGTTGTTTGAAGATTATGTTGCATGCTTCCCTGTCCAGTCTGTTGAACAATCTGACAAATCTTCTCCCTCAATAACAATATCTGATTTTGTTTCTGTTGAGAGACCTCAATCATTACTGAAATCTCAGATTAAGAAGCAAAAATTGGTGAGTGGAGATTTGTCTAGGAAAAAAACTGAGTTGGAAGTGTATCTCTCTGAGGTTATTGTGGATGAGGATGATTCATTTGACCTTCTAAGATGGTGGAAGCAGCAATCTGAAAGGTTCCCTGTCTTATCTAAAATGGCAAGGGATATTCTAGCTGTTCCAATATCAACTGTTGCTTCAGAATCAGCATTCAGTACAAGTGGAAGGGTACTTGATGCCTTTAGGAGTTCCCTAACTCCTAGAATTGTTGAGGCATTGGTGTGTGCACAGGATTGGCTAAGGTTAACCAATCAACCAATCTCAATTGAAGAAAATATTAATGATGTTGAAAAGATTGTGAAAGGTATATATTTCTAACTACCATTTTGTATCTGTTTAAATGTTTAAGTTTTAATTTCCATTTTGTATTTGTACTGCAGAGTTGTGCAGCACATCCAGCACTGGAACTGGAATGCCTACAATTGTTGTATGTTTACAGTTTCCATTAATTTATTTTGAAATCTGAATTTGTGATTACTTATTTGATTTCATGATAAATTTATGCCTCTGTATCAGTGTATCATGTATGTGTATCAATGATTCAAATCAATGTCCCTCATGAGGCTGGGAAGTTGGAACTAGAACTGGAAAGTGCTCATGGCTAGGTAACATTTTAAATGTTGCTGCCATTGAGCTCAGGTATCAGTATAAGTACTGACTAAATGTCTAAATGTGACTTCTGACTTCTGACTCACTATACTTATAACTGTATAACTGTTCATTATTGTGCAATGATGATGCTTCCACCATGTTCTCTGAATATATAGAATTGGGTTTGGTATGTTGCCTATGAAGTGTGGTGTTTATGCCATACTCATTGAGTAGTGTGCCCCCAATCCTAACTTGATATGGAAAAAAAGCTATCTGAGCACTCTTTTAGTCTTTTACAGTTTGTGTCAATCCATTGTTCCATTATTGAATGGCAGTAAGTTATGAAATGTTTTGAACTTATTGTGTTTTTATGTGTTCACTTATCAGGAAGAAGAATAGACTAATAGAGTCATAGAGACATACAGTACTCTATATTATATTAATCATATATTCATATATTACTTTTGGAGTTTTGGATTTCTGGCTTTCTTTTGCTCAATGGCTGAAACATGAAAGCTGAATGCTGATGTGCTGATTGGAGAATGATGCTGCTGCATGCTTGCCTGCTTGCTTTGGAGTTTGGCGAATGATTGTTATATTTTGCTAATTTGCTATGAAGAATTAAACTTCTCATTACAAGTTTTAAATTTGTAACTTGTAAGCTAATCTGCTGTAAATTTGCTAATTTTGTTAATTTGATTATATGTTTACAGTTTTATATGTTTACTTATGTTATTTTTGCTGTTAAGTAGTTAATAATTACTAGTTAGTGGCTTATAGTACTTAAGTAGTTCATTAGTTAGGTGTTGCATGAATTGAATATTTGATTTGTTCATTCTTATAAAACCGAATTACCAAACCGATATCCGACCGATCCGACCCCATCCGAAAATAAAAATAACCGAACGGATAAGTCAACAAAATAAAACGGATAGGGTAGTCAAAATTGAAATCCGATATCCGACCGGGGGACTCTTTCCGCCATCCGAACTGTCCGACTGCACACCCCTAATATTTCATTGGGTTAGCGTAATTCGAGGTGCTGATCCTATGGCAGGTTATGAATTTAAAAAATAAAGGTCTAGTACAATAATAATTGACAAATTATTATATGAATCGTGGTCCACACAGTTGTGTGGATTAAATTTCAAAACGATGTCGTTGAATATTATAGAGTAAGAACAATGTACATTATGTGTTAAAATAATGTATATGATGTGTTATAATATTGTATATTATGTGTTAGAATATTGTACTTTATGTGTTAGAATAATGTACACGTGTTAAAATAATGAAATTTCTAGAATAACATAGTGTAAATTATGTTTTAGAATTGTGTACATTTACTAGTACAAAGAAGCACATCTGCTACAGGTGTATAAAAAGAGAGAGAAACTAAATCCGAAAATGAGGTGGTTAAAGCATATGATTCGAAAGGGAAAAATGAGGCTGCTCATTTCCATTTGTTCACACTTTGTCTTCAATTTTTTTTCTCTCTTTTTAACCTAATGAATAAATAATTCTCATCACCTTTGACCTGACCAATTATTCCCCATGTGTAAGTGTTCCTTTAAAAAATAAAGTTGCAAGGCTCACGAAACACATGCGCATATTATTATTATATTATATACATACAAACACACTCTGTTTTATCCAACACACTCAAGAAATACTACTTTTCAAAGGAACACTTATGTGGAATAATTGGTCAGGTGATATATTTATTACAAGCTATGCTGGAAATAAATCAGTATATATATAATCACATGTGAATTAAACCAGGGCTCTCATTCAAACCAGAACCATGGAATTTCTTCTCCAAGACCTTAACACTTCAATTATTGTTATAGCTATTGCTTTTTATGTAGTTTTTCGTTATCTTTCTGGCAATGGCAATAACAAGTCCCAGAAGAATAAATCACCGCCTGAAGCGGGTGGAGCTTGGCCTATTCTGGGCCACCTTCACCTTTTCAGAACTTCTAAACTTCCTCACGTAGCCTTGGGAGACATGGCTGACAAGTATGGACCAGCCTTCACAGTCCGGATTGGCGCGCACAGAGTATTGGTGGTCAGCGACTGGAAATTGGCGAAAGAACTCTCCACTGTCCACGACGTTCACATTTCGTCTCGTCCCAAGTTTCGAGCCGCCAAAAACATGGGCTACAACTACATAATGTTCGGTTTCTCTCCCTATGGGCCTTACTGGCGCGAGATTCGCAAGCTGACCTCCATAGAACTATTGTCCAACCGGCGGCTTGAACAGCTGAAGCACATAAGAGTGTCGGAGATCGACGCCTCTGTAAAGGAGCTCTATAAGCTTTGGACTGAAAAGAAGAACAATTCTGAACCTTCCGGCGGCCGTGTTTTGGTGGAAATGAAGAAGTGGTTCGCGGACCTAACATTCAACGTGGTCCTTCAAATGGTGGCCGGGAAACGATACTTTGGTACTGCAGCGGTTAATGATGAAAAAGAGGGGCGACGTTGCCAAAGGGTGTTGAGAGATTTTGTTAAATCTCTTGGGGTTTTTGTGCCGGCGGATGCCCTGCCTTTTTTGGGATGGTTTGATATCGGCGGGTATGAAAAATCCATGAAACAAGTTGCTAAAGAAATGGACTCTCTTATGGACGAATGGATACAAGAGCATCGTGTAAAGAGAGAGGCGACGGCCGGTGAGGGATGTATTGCCATTGGCGACGAGAAAGATTTCATAGACGCGATGCTTTCACGAATGGAAGAGATTGATCTTAATGGTTGTGACATAGACACCGTTATCAAATCTACGTGCTTGGTATGCATGCGCTCTCTCTTGATTTATTATGAAATTATCATATATTTTTGAATTTATTATATGCATACTTAAAAAACGTACACACCTAGCTAGGGCTTACGCCAGTCGTTCGTTGTCTGACTTGATTTCACGAATGATTAAATGCGACGTCCCTTTGCGCCCATATAGACTTACAACACGTTTGGTTCAAAGGATAAGTCTGGGATTAAATGATAATCTCCGGAACATGCTTATTCCATTGTTTGTTAATGCCTTTTATTCTCAGAAACATTATTGTTCTCTGGAATGAGCTATTCCCCTTGCAAGGGGAATAGTGATTCCAAGCCCCGCAGATTATCATTTTTGCCATTTAATATCCGGACTATTATTGTTTGAACGCTTTTAGTCCTTCTCATGACTTTTTCTAAATTTAGTAAGGGCATTTTTGTCTTTTAATATTTTTCTTTTGTTATTTTCCAATTTCCACCGGTTTAATTGACTTAGGACTTTAAGTAACCTCTGATTTTTTGTAACCATATGTTTGAACGATAAAGTCATAAATCAATTAAATCAGTTGAAAGCGAAAAAATAACAAAAGAAAAATTTGAAGAGATAAAAATGTCCTTACTAAAAATAGGAAAAGTCATGAGAAAATTAAAAGTGTCTAAAAAATAATAGTCTGTAATGTTATATAACAAAAACGATGGTCTGAGACTAAATTTGAAATTGTCACAAAAAACAAGGGACCTCTGATAGAATTAACTCTATAAAGTATTAAATACATCATTTTCTTTAACTATTTAAATTTTGTATATTAGAATTTGATTGCGGGAGGAGCAGATACGATCATGGTCATGCTAACGTGGGCTCTATCTTTGATGATGAACAATCCCCATGTGTTGAAGAAGGCTCAAGAAGAACTAGATATGGTGGTTGGCAAGGAAAGAAAAGTAAATGAATCAGATGTTAATAATTTGGTATATCTGCAATGTATTATCAAAGAAACACTTAGGATGTACCCGTCAACTCCACTTGGAGGTCCAAGAATATTCACAGAAGATTGCAAAGTATCAAATTTTGATGTTCCAAAAGGCACTTGGTTAATCTTTAACCTATGGAAACTCCAACGAGATCCACAAGTTTGGACTAACCCTCATGAATTCAATCCAGAAAGATTTATCAATCGCCATAAAGAGGTTGATGTTTTGAGACAAGATTTCGAGTTGATTTCATTTGGTGCTGGTAGAAGAATATGTCCAGGGATAAGTCTTAGTCTTCAAATATTGCCCTTGGTCTTGGCTAATTTATTACATTCCTTTGAGCTCTCAGTCGCTAATGGAGCAATTGATATGACTGAGACAACTGGAACAAGCAATTTCAAAGCTGCACCACTTGAAATTCTCATAGCTCCTCGTCCCTCTGTTTATCTGTATTAGTTAAGCACACATTAATTAATATGTGCGCGTGTTTGTTTGTATCTGTGTCTGTGTATGTATGTTCACTGGAAAGAGCCTCCATGGACATCATGATTTACCAGATACATGAATAAAAAGGCTTGATATATTCCTATTAATTACCCATTTATCAAATCCTAAATTTCTGTCCTCCTTGTATACCAACAAATAGTACACAAAACTTTAATATATATCAAATTTCTTTCTCACACACATACATAAAAACATACAAACATACATACAGCATTTTCATTGGCAGATCAGCACGTACGCAAAATTTTGGTGCATAATTTTGATGGAAATATATACCATCCAATTAGATATAGACTTGCCAATGAAAATGTCTGCTTACGTACGAATAATACAAATTAAAAGTGGACCACATGGCAGAACTGTACGTTCGAATAATTAAAATTAAATTATTGCATATATAAAGTATTTTACGTTTTCCCAATAATTTATGCTCATCCAATTAGATATAGACTTGTAATGGCCTATGATAGAAAACAACTACCTAGCATGCACCCCCAAAAAAAAAAAAAAAAAAAAAAAAAAAGATACGAAACTTTAGAGAAACTTGTACATAACCCCAAATCAATTAACCCAAGGTTCTTAATTATTCACACCAGGCCAGAACCATGCAACTTCTTCTCCAAAACCTTAATATATACTTCAATTATCGTTGTATGTATAGCTATTGCTTTTTATGTAGTTTTTAATTATCTTGCAAACAGTAGCAAGTCACGGAAGCAAAAAACACCGCCGGAAGCCGGTGGGGCGTGGCCTATTCTCGGCCACCTTCACCTTTTCAGAGGCTCTAAACTTTCTCACATAGCCCTTGAATTGGAGAACTGACAAACAAGTATGGGCCGGCTTTCCCTATCTGGATGTTCTCCATCAACCGCCGCAGATGTTCGCCGGACCCCTTGTTGCTTAACCGGAGTTGAAGGTGGTGTGGAAGTGCAAGGTGGCGTCTCCAGTGTTGTTTTGGTTAGAGAAGAAGAAGAGGAATCATGGAAGAGAGAGAGCGCATAAAAGGGGTGAGAGAGAGATAGTGAGAAGTGAATTTTGTCATGGATATACTGTTGGGGAAAATAGCAACGTCAACGCACGATTGGAAGCCTTTTAAGAAGCACGGACACTACGGATGTATGGTAGAAAGAAAATCTGTGCCGTGTTATAATAACAATACCTTAAAAGCGTTATTTGCCCGGTAACGGTGCAGTTAGAACCCAGACACGCTTTCGACAGGCTACACAGACCAACTACGGATAGCTTGCACTAGCAATCACGTAGGCGAACCTCACTATTGCTCAGACTACGGGAGAAAGAAGAAGAATAGAACAAATAACTTTGAAGTCAAGTGTGTTTTCCAAATATGGTAAGAGCTTCTTTATATAGTAAGCAGCTCTCCCATATTAGCCATGCAAAGAGAGACAAACAATGATGTCCACAACTTTGCACAAAACATGCTGACCACAAAAAAGGAGTGCACAAAATGCGCACATCTTCTTTGAATTTTCCAACAATCCCCCACAAATTTAAAGAGGAAAGGAAAAGGATAAAGTTTGAGCAATACAAATGAGTTGATCTTAATGTCAGTGTTTGAGAACTTGAACTGACACGTAGTAACACTGAGTAATTTTCTTCCCGGGAGTGATGTGAATCTTGAACTCACTGGTTAGATAAATTTTGAACTCGAATGTACACACCAACTCAAAAAGCAGGTTCTACGAAAGTCAAACTCTTTGACTTCTTATGAATACCCTTAGTATTCAAGACTGTTACGTCTGTCTCAAAAATAGACTTCTACCCTGTCAAAGTCTATCACAACATAGATTTTTAATTCTGACAAGTCTTACCGCATTACAGATTTTTATGTCTTATTAAGTCTATCTCAGCATAGATTTTTAACTCTATCAAGTCTATCTTAGTATAGACTACCATTAAAGGCTTATAGAGTAGTAAAGACATAAATCAGTAGTAAGTCGCTTCTTTCTACATAGGCAATGTTATTTGCAACGCAAACGACAATTTGTGAATCACAATGTGGTGAAGGTGTTGGACACCCCCACAACTGCACGGTTATCACCATGTTTCTTAGCCACTCGACTTCTTGGGATAACCCCATTGTCTTTCATAAGAGGCGGTTAGCCCTTCTCCACTCAAGTTAGGGATCTCTTTAGGTCTATCTCAACATAGACCATGGTAGCCCTTTTCCACTCAAGTTAGGGATCTCTTTAGGTATATCTCAACATAGACCACCCCAATTGAGTATAAGAGGCTAAACTTCCAATGTGGGACAACATGGATAGGCAAAAGGAAGCCTTTTCTTTTAAATGCTCCCAACAATCCCCCACCATTAAAGGGACTTAGGCTGATGCTGTCATTGCATGACAACGATCAAAACAAATTTTCATGCCAGTGTATAAAACTTGAACTGTCATATAGTGACATTAAGTACTTCTCTAAACGGGAGTGAATTTGATCTTGAACTCATCGAATAGACAAAGTTTGAACTTAACGCACTTAATTTGCTTTAGTCGCTTTAAAATATGTGAGGTCATACTCTTGACCCTGAGATATCCCCTGTTAGGTCTATTCTAGGATAGACCTTCAACTCTGTCAAGTCTACCTCAACGCAGACCACCATGACTGGCTACAGCATATCTATGGGCACCACGAGCACTTTGTACTCATGTCATTATGCGGTGAATTCATTAGGTTTGTCTCAACAAAACCACCCTTTCTCAAAGAGTTATGAATTCATTAAGAGCTGTAGCTCAACCTCACATGCGGTGAATTCATTAAGTTTGTCTCAACAAAACCACCCTTTCTCAAAGAGTTATGAATTCATTAAGAGCTGTAGCTCAACCTCACAGGTACACACACTGTCGAAATGACCAACTAGTGTACTATTTTGTAACTCTTTTCATGGTTTCGTTTGACCACAGAAGTGGGATCCACCACGAATTCATTACCACTTGGACTTTAAGTCCTTCCAATGAGTCAACGACTAATCCTCATAATTAGCCCTCAAGTAAGCTGATTCTCTTGACCAAACTTACATGCACTTTGACGAGTACTTCGTTTACTCGTAAATAATCCCTTGAGATTTTCATGTTTAACATGACACATTCTCTTTCATCATTATTCTCAATACCACAGAGAAACTTTTGATGAAAATATATGGAGTTTATTACCCCACAAAGCAACACTTACAAATATTTTTGTCAAATGTATTTGATCTCTTACCCAGACTGATATTTGGTGCCCATCATTAGCTCCTTTGTAGACTGAGTTTTGCCGACTTGCTTTGTGGAGCATTATAGAAGCTTCGCACTTTGCCTGATACATGCTCAACAGTTGATATTTCAACAATCTTGGTTATCTCAATTGATCACAATTACCCTTTAACTAGGAATTATAGGTATTTCAATATGACTCAACCAAGAGTTTAAATAATATATATATATATATATATATATATATATATATATATATATATATATATATATATATATATATATATATATATATATATATATAAATGCTCATTGTTATAAGCCATAGAAATAATGTTGTTCACATGCTACATGAAGTTGAACAATATAATCACAAATTTCACATCATATTTTTATAAGAAATTAATCTCATACACAAGGAATATGTTCGAGTTCATATTTATTCGGAATATCTCTCGACAATGAGACTTCAGAGTTGCCACTAGCACAAATTTTTTTTTCCTTCCCTTAAGGAATTTAAAACTCATATAAAGCATTCATAGGGTGCAGATCAATATTGCAGTACTTCAACAACTTCTATTGCAAGGCTTTGATTGTATTAGCAACATATGAAAGTCAACCTCATTTCAGGTAAAGATCAAGTGACGCTCTAACTAGCCTGCATGATCAACACCCTACTTCTTAAAAACTCCCAGGTCGAGTGGTGAAACCGAAGTTTACTTAAAAACCATCTTCCTAGACAGAGTGTTCAAGAATGATGACTTTTCCAGGTTCTCACTAAATTACAATTGAAGCCTATGATATATGCTCTTATTTTTATACAAATAATTTTAGTAAAAAGTTTGAGCAATATCTATGCACGAATAATTTCAATCAATGTCATTAGTATTCAAAATACTAAAGAAATAAGTACTACTAAGTAATCAAAATCTAGACAGCTCAACTAGAATTCATGTACTACGATAACCATACTTCATGCGAACCCTTAGAACTAGAGCAAACATAGTTACTCAAAATAACTATTTATTTAAAGAGACTCAATACTCATCTTGCTCTGTCAGATTGACTTTTGCTAGTTTTGCCCTTGTGATGGTAGCACTGGTGTGCTCGGTGTCCTTGCTTTCTGCACGTAAAACACCTTCCTTTAAACTTCTTTAGTTTTCTACTCCTTTCGTTGTAGACGGTTCTGACACTTTGGCTTTCAGTTCCATTGGCACCGTACTTTTCTGACAGTGATTTCCAAATGACTTTTGCCGAATCTTGTTTGACATAGATGTCGAACAAATCGTCATTCATTTGTGACAGCAGGTATCCTCTGGCTGCCGCATTGTCATTTCTAAATTGAATCAGAGTTACACCCGGTTCTTAACCCGGAATGTAATCTATTTCAGGACTGCTTTGTCTCGATTCTTCACCCGGAGTGTAATCAGGTTCATGATTACATTTTGTAGCACCAAATGGAGAGAACACTGTTGGAGAAGGTTCAGGTGCAACTGAATATAGCATGTAAACCAACTTTAATTGTTCAAAAAGAATAAGCATTCTTTGAGCCCACCTGCTGTAATTTTTCCCATCAAGCGCGGTGATTTTTTATAAATCCGGTATGACAGAAGGTGCCATAATGCTAAAGGTTGACTGTTGCAAAATAACGCTTTTAACTATTGGAGAAAATAGCAACGTCAACGCACGATCTGGAAGCCTTTTAAGAAGCACGGACACTACGGATGTATGGTAGAAAGAAAATCTGTGCCGTGTTATAATAACACTACCTTAAAAGCGTTATTTGCCCGGTAACGGTGCAGTTAGAACCCAGACACGCTTTCGACAGGCTACACAG